GTTTCATTTAACAAATCTTTCCCTATCTCTCCCTTCCTTTTCTAACCTCTAGTATCTGCTGTCTTGCCTTTTACTCCCATGAGGTCAACTTATTTTAGTTGTCACATATGAGTGAGAGCATAAACTATTTAACGTTCTGTTCACAGCTTGTTTTCCTTAATGTAATGTCCTCCAGTTCCATTTATGTTGCCACAAATGACTGGCTTTTATTCTTTTTATGGCTGAATATTACTCCATGTTACATATATACCACATTTTCTTTATTCATCTGGTTTTGGATACCTAGTTTGATTCCCTATCATGGCTATTATGAATAGTGCTGCGATACACATGGTGCAGATGTCTCTTCAATACACTGATTTCTCTTCATTTGGATAAATGCCCAGAAGTCAGATTGCTGGATCATATTAGTTCTATTTGCAGGTTTTTTTTGAGGAACCTCTATACTGTTCTCCATAGTGGCTGAACTACTTTACATTCCAAACAACAATGTATAAGAGTTCCCTTGTCTCGACATCCTCACCAGCATTTGTTACTATTATTTTTTTTATAATAGCTATCCTAACAAGGGTGAGATGATACCTCACTGCAGTTTTAATTGGCATGTCCCTGATGATTAGTGACAGTAAGCATTTTAAAATATATTTATTGGCCATTTGTATATCTCCTTTTAAGAAATGTCTTTTCAGATCCTTTGCCCATTTTTAAGTTGGATTTCTGTTAGCTGTTGCATTGAGTTCCTTGTATGTTCTGACTATTAATTCCTTGTGTGATGAACAATTTGCAGATATTTTCCTTTCATTCTATAGGTTGCCTTTTTATTCTGTTTATTGTTTCCCTTTTGACATAACTTTTTAGTTTTATATAATCCCACTTGTTTATTTTTTTCTTTTGTTGCCTGTGCTTTCAAGATTTTATTCATAAAATCTTTTCCTAGATCAGGGTCATATGTTTGGTTTCAGACCATTTCCCCTAAGTTTTCTTCTAGTCGTTTTATAGTTTCAAGTCTTACATTTAGGTCTCTGATTCATTTTGAGTTGATTTTTGTATAGGGTAAGAGATTGGGGGTCTAGTTTCATTCTTCTGAATATGGATATTCCATTTTCCCAGCACCACTTATTGAAGTCATTGTCCTTTCCCCAGTGAGTATTCCTGGTGACTTTCTCAAAAATCAGTTGACTGTAGGTATGTGCATTAATTTGGGGGTTTTAAAAAATATTATTTCATTGATTTATATGTCTGCTTTTATGGCCATACTATGCTGTTTTTGTTACTACAGTGTTACAGTATATTTTAAAGTCTGTTAGTGTAAAGCCTCTAGCATTGTTCTTTTTGCTCGGGACTGTTTTGGCTATTTGGGGTCTTTTGGGTTTTTATACAAATTTTAGGACTTCTATTTCTATAATGAATTCCATTGGTATTTTGATAGAGATTGCATTGAATCTATAGACTGCTTTGGATAGCATGATTATTTTACCAGTATTCATTATTCCAATCCATGAGCCTGGGATATCTTTCTACTTGTATGCTTTCCAATTTCTTTCATTGGTATTTGTGTTTTTTTCTTGTAGAGGTCTTTGATTAAATTGTTAAATTGATTAAATTGATTCCTAGGTATTTTATTATATTTGGTGGCTACTGTAAATGAGATGGTCTTATCTTCTTTTTTAGGTAGTTTATTGTTCATATATAGAAACATTACTAATTTTTATATGTTGATTTGGTATTCTGCAAATTTACTGATTTTGCTTGGCAGTTATAGGATGGTTTTTTTTTTGGTAAAGTTTTTAGGTTTTTCTGTGTATAAACTCATGTCATGTGCAAACAGGACAATCTGACTTTCTGCCTTTCCATTTGGATGCCCTTTAATATTTTCTCTTGCCTAATTGCTCTGGCTAGGACTTCCAGTACTGTGTTGAATAAGAGATAAGAGAGACCACAGCATTTTTTTTTTCCATGCCTGTGTTGTTAGACAGATTCATTGCTCATGATTTTCACTTTTATAAAGAACACCGAAACCAGCATCTTTGAATATATTTGAGGTTATTCCCTGAGAAAAGATTCTTAGATGTCTAGACAGACAAGACTGAATCTCTTTAAAGTGAAGATCCATATTTATAAACTACTCTCAGCAGTATTAGCCTCATCAAACCTTTGTCCTCTGCTGTATTCAACAATCATGCACAGAATTGGCAAGTTTCCTAATATATTAATTTCAAAATCTTTTTTTTCTGTATTACCATGAAGTTGGAGATCATACTAATCATTTATTGTGTGCTGGCACCCCTCTCAGTCCACACAATTTCAATGACAGTCATTGTGACACTGCACAATCATTTGCATGCCTTCTTCAGTGCCCTGGGTTTCATACTTCATTTAACCATCTCAAGCTCCTTAAATCAAAGCACGGGGTATGGTGGTTTTGGAATGGAAGCCAACAGAAGCTGAAAAGCTTTATCCAAACATGAAAACAGAAATGAGTTTGGTCCCTTTAATTGTCATATGGAAGATTTAACTTGTAACTTAAGCTTTTTGTACATCACATTTAGAGTAGTATACTTTACTGTTACTTTTTTTCTCAGCCATTTGTCTTTCTTTTCATCTTCTGGGTATGTTCTTTTAAAAAGAACTTGCTATTGAAATATAACCTGCTCCAAATTTTATATGAAGATTTTGTATGAGTGATTCATATATTTGAACCATGACTTGTCATGTATTTTTAACATTTCTGAATTATTACTTTATAAAATGAAATAATCGTTTGTTTTAAAGCGAGACACTTTCAGCATTTACAAAGAAGAAAACACTTATTCCAAAGAACAAGTCATGTCAGCTCAACCTTCTTTCTTTAAGACAGTTTTTGCACTGATTGGAGAAACGCAATAGACAGAGTATCACCGTCTAAAAGGAATTTGATGCCATTCTCGAGCTCAATGCATAAGCAATTTAGGATATTAGTAATTAGTTCAGATTTGGATTAACAGATGAATATCAACCTGGAAGAAGGAATCTAGTACTAGCCGTAAGATTCTACTGTTGGCATTGTCCAGATTGTTACTTACATTACTGATGGGGATGAAATTAAAGAAAAATTTGATTTCTAAAATTTTTCAGCTTGTGGAGAAAATGATGACGGGCTGTAGTAATTAGATCAGTTGAAGAAGATGGAAATCATAGTGGTAAATATGACTCTCTACTTGGGTTCCCAAAATATAGCCCCACCTGTACATGTAGAAGCAGGTTTACAACCTAGATTTTTATTTTTGCTTAGGGGAGATGGATAAACACTAAGATGTTGGCAATGTTAACAGAAGCCCAATGTAAGTAAGGACAATAGTGATAATCTAGGTAATCATATATCAATAAGAGCACATGTAGACTGCTGTTTTGTGTTCTAGTTACCGCACATTCAGAGGACAAAATGGAGTTCCTAGAATGAGTAGCTAGGATAGCTTGAAAGACTTGAACTTCTATAATATGAGGAATTGATAAAGAGGAACGTTTATAAGCCCAAGAACCATCTTTCAGTATCTAGACCTTTTTACACAAGCAAAAGCAGACTTTCTCTGCATTCTGAGGAATAGAAGCAAGACTATTGGGAATAACTATGAAATTAATTATGGGTAGTCATACTTGGACTTAATAGAATTGATTATTTCCAGCATTCAGAGGTGTATCTAGATGGAATAGAATCTGCTATAGACATTATCATGTCTTCTCAATTTTGGGATACATTGGAGGATTCCATTTCCCCATCTCAAATTAGGCATGGCCATGTGACTGGTTCTAGCCAATAAAACACACTTAGAAGTGAAAATGTCACTTCTGATTCAAAGCATTTAATTTACTCTTTAGCACACTCTCCCCTTGGGTTAAAATGGACATACCAGCTATGATCTCTAAGGGGTTACAGTGGTCAGAGTGTCTCCCAATCACCTCCACTCCCACCCCTTTGACCCAGCCACACACCTACATTGGACATGTAGTTTGAATGGAAAATAAACCTTTGCTATTTTTAGCCACTGAAGTCTATAGGTTTTATTATGGCCTCCTAACCTTTATTATCCTGATTGCCATCAGTGCCTTCAAGATGTAGTGGTTCTTTGTGAACGTGCAACAGAAAGACAAGCATTGGATTATTGAGAGATTTTTGGTTCAGCAACTCACATACTTGCATTCTTTGCATGTTACTTTCATTGCTACACTGAATTCAGGCTATTGTTGGGGGTACAATTTAGTCAACTGGAATTTTCAGCTGGCTCCAGGACCTCCTGGGAGATGAATCCCAGTAAAGTGAGCAGAGATAATTCTCTTCATAAGCCCACCCTTCATTAACTCCACTGCGTGCCCAATAACATCACATATTTATGATCCTTTTTACTTTGGAAACAGCTAACAACAAGTAGATAGTTCACCCAGCAAAGATTCTATTACCACACGCATTATGTATGAAGACTCAAGGCTCACAAAAGAGCTCAGGGGAAAAGTAACTTTTGAACATGAACTTTGCAGTTTAAGTTTTACACATTTCATGTCGACTGGACTATTGCCAAGTGTCTCTTCAGTCTATGCATGTAGATGCATTATTGCTAGTAACAAAGTTTCCCAAGGATGCCCCTGTTCCATCTGTTCACTCATGTAACTGAACAAAGCCCACTGCATACCACAAGTACCTACTGAGTGTTATTGTGAAAGATGATGAGTGCTAGGAATTACCTGATATGTTTATAAAGTGGTTCTGTCAGGGGAAGAGGTGTATGAAATGGTAGAAGCCAGGAAGTGAACTGAATAACATATGTACCTAGCCTGAGAAAAAAATTCAAAAATGGAATTAAAAGGTGATCCAATGGCAAAAAAAATGGAAAGGGTAAATTTAAAATTATAATTAAAAATACATATGGATGCATATATATGCAGATATATATGTTTATTTGTCTTTCTATAACAACTTTATGTAACTCACAGCTAATTAATTGGCACCTCATTTTTGTTGTTCACAGGAGACCAAAATCAACTGTGTCCGTCTGGCTACAAAAGGTATGTTGGCATGTGCTTGTCTGTCTTCAGCTGTTCTTCAACCATTTAAGTATTTCTCCCTTTCTGGCCACACAGAGAAAGTTTGGGCAACAATAACTCAAAACGAGAAAGAATTGTTATTTTCACTGGAGTCATTTGCATCCAGACCATACATTCTAGGGTGTATATTAGTAGCACAGTGCATAAAACACGTAAAAGTTTAAAACATATTTACTGAAAGGATGGATGGGTAGATGCATGTATAAAAGGAAGGAGTGGTACATTGATTGGTAGAGCGATGGTTATAAATTTACTCAAATATTCTTTTGATATGTTTTTCTTATATTTGGGTCTTTGTTTTTATGTGAGTATTTCTTTAAGCATGTCTGTTAGACCCATCTACTGAGTTTTGTATTTCATTCAGTTGGTACATGGCTTTCAAAAATGAGGTGATGAGTACTGATGCCTTTAATAATGGAAGACAAACGCTGCATTATTATGTAGTTGGCATTTTCATCACTTACCCCCAAACTAAGGCAGCATTGTTCAGGCTCATCACTTTGGTTTTCCTAATTATAATTGAATTGTCTGGCTCTTTCAATTGGTACATGTTTCTGTTTATTACTCTTTCTAAAAAACAAAATCAATGAATGGTTTGCTATCATTTAACCTATTACAGGGTTGAATGGTTAGAAATCAGATTTGTTTTTTTGTTACAGAGTTGATATTTTTAACAGCAAACCCTCCCCATACACACACAACAAAATTGGGCAATTCTGTTCTGTTGCCTGAATTTCCTGATGCATATGTAGTTTCATAGACTGCTTCTAAGGAGATAAAATTTGTCAATATAAATAGGCAAATAATCACAGATGTAAAGTACAGATAAAAGCAATGACCCAAGTATGTGTGTGTAGATGTGTAAATATGTACACACATGCACAATGCACAGAACCACACCGAGGAAAACATACATGAGGACAGAGTGGGGAGAAAAAGAGAGAAAAAAATCTACAGCTATTTGACAAAATGTGAACAAGACCTATCACGCATGATTTTTATAACTTTGAAGAAAATCAGCCCAATATGTAGGCACAAAAGAGAAGATGCAGGAGAAAGGAGAAAACAGAAGCACTAGGGCTCGCAGTGATGAGAAGTCACCCTGATTTCACATAAGTCACAGAGGGTGGCGTGTCCCTAACTTGTTCCCTCTCAGGAACTCAGGCTACTGGATGGAAGGAGATAAAATACTCTCTGAGAGGCAAGGAGAATTGATGGCCTGCAAACAAGAGTGACACAAATCACAGGTCTTGGCAGACTTTTCCACTGAAGAAAACAGATAATGTAGAAGGAAGAACACCATCCATTGGGTAGCACTAGGGCTCTAGACAGCAATCAGGACAGCTGGGTGTCTGCAGCCTGCTTAAACAGGCAGCTGGAGAGAGAAGGAAACTCACAGAGAAACCTCCTTCACTATGATATGCTCTATGGCTCCCCAATGGCTTTTGAATTCTAGACCAGGAGAGGTGGATGCAATGGATCTGCACTCCCTGGGGTAGGTGGGATTCTAGGAACGCCCTCTGGGGTATAATCTCCATAAAAGGGTGACTTGCTGGGTCCTATTTTCTAAACTGAGAATTGGAAACATGAGACCTGACGGGCAATAGGAACATATGGGGACAGTGAGAGAATGTCTAAAACTGTACTCTCCTGAAAACTTCAGGACTGCAGACCTCAAAGGAATAGAAGCCCACCATGCTGAGCTTCTCTACAGTTGCATTCCTGATGTGCAAGAGAATTGCAGCGATATTTAAAGAACCAGACAGAAGAGTTCTCTACCTCTCCTTAGCATAAGGGCTTCCCCTCTTGTCTGAGCTTTAGGTTACCATCTTTCCTTAAGTGAGTGGAGTGTGTATGCAGGTAAAGTGAGGGTGTGTGAAAGGATAGGAATGCATGAATGAGTGCGAATGCCCAGCTATCCAAGCCCAGGCAGGGCTCTTACAGATGAGGGTATTGGGGAATCTGAGCATCCACATCCTGGTTTTCCAATTCAGTGAGATCCAACACTTGAACTCAAAGAAATAGGACTCCAGTAGCACTTATGAATGGGGCAGAGAACTAGATAGTGCAGAATGCCAGTCAGACACTGTTTAGCTATCCCCTCTCACCACATCAGATAAGAAGTAGGACAAAGGGAAGCAGATCCGTGTTTGATGAGTGTCTAGTTGGTGCCGGGTATTATGCTTAGAGTATCTAGGGTTTATTAAAAGCAAACCCTAACTATTATAAATCCATCCATTGCCTGTGAAGAGTTTGTATCAAGAACCTAAAGCCAGGAATCAATATTCTGTTTATCCTATCCCTTCCTGACCAACTGGATCAAACTCCCTTAGTCAGGCTTGCTAAAAACAGTATTCTTTTTAACAGAGGAAGATACTGAGAGTCTCACAGATTTTGGAAGCATACAAAGTCCCAGAGATGGGTCTTCAGTCTCTCCCAGGGCTTTTCCCTCTCTCTGTCATCATGGCACCTGCTTTATGGGTCTGATGGAAGGCATCCTGACCCCGAAGCTCACATGTCAGGCTCGAGGCCAGTACTCTGGTGATAAAGCAACTTGCTGCTGTCATGTCCCTGATCCTGGAGAGTCCAGCCAGTGTCTGTGACCAGCTACGTGAATCCCACAGGACCAGACGGTTGCCAGTTGGAACAGCCCTAAGCACTCATTCAGGATCATTTTAACTTGACCCCAAGCCTAGTGCCCCTTACCCGAGACTATTAGATACGCACCTGGCTCCAGCATGTGTCTCCAACCCTTTTCTTTTTGTAATATTGCTTCTAGTAACTCAGGATTTAATTTGGTACTGCCCAGGTTGGAGGGTTGCAAAGTAATGGACCTGTATTAATTTCCTGTGGCTGCTGTAACGAAGTCCTACAAATGGGTTGGCTTAAATAACGCAAATGTATTGTCTCACAGTTCTGGAAGTCTGAAGTCTGAAATCAAGGTGTCTGCCGACTTTGTTCCTTCTGAGTGCTGTGAGGAAAATCTGTTCTATGTGTGTCTCTTAGCTTCTGGTGGTTTGCTGGCAGTCTTCATCATTTCTCGGCTTGTGGAAGCACCACCCTGATCACTGCCTTACCATCACATGACATTCTCCTTGTGTGTATGAATGTGTCCAAAATTCCCCTTCTTATGAGGATACTACCACGTAATCCAGTAAGGACATTTGATTAGGATAGCAAAAAGCAAGGGAATTGCCTTGAATATAAGAACTAAAAGGGTATTTTGAGCACTTTGCTTGATATACTCTAGACCTGGGAGCAGATCTGATCAGAGCCATAGAGAGAAAACTGTAGCCAATGGGTAAACAGGCATTAAGTGATGGTTTGGATTTAAAGCTATTATTCAAGACTCTGAAAGGAAGACAGTAGAAAGCCACAGAGGAAAAAATAGCAATTTAAAAACCAGGTTTTGTTCTTAGGATTAAACCAGGAAATGTTAGAAAGGGCAAGTGAGCAGGGGAAGCATTTAGAACCATTAACAGTGTTTATCCTACCTTTGGAAGATGAGAGATGGGCTCAACATAGCCAGCAGGTTAAGATTTCAGCCAGAGATGTTCAAGATGATCCTTGAGAAAATGTAGCTTGTGGAAGCTTGTGGTAGGGACTTAGACTTCAGAGGTGCTAATGCTCAACTAGGAGATAAAACAACCCATCCCATGGGAGGTGCATTATCCCATCTGGTCAAAGATACCCTAGACTGCAGCTGCTGAAGGAGATACCCAAGTATCTCAGTTCATGCCCTCTGGCCGAGACAGAGCAGGACACGGGAAAACTGTTTCTGACCTAGTTGTTCAATTCTAGAACAGGTCAGTCCCCCTTTGAGAAACTGATACCCAGTTCCATCCAAATACTCTTCCCCATTGATGTCCTGTCTTTCTAATTCTTTCCCTGCTTCCCTTTCTGCAGTCATCTGTTCATTTTGCTTCTTTCTCTTACCCACAAGCCCTATCCCACCAGTCTTCCTTGCATGATCTGACCCCTTCCTACCCTCTAGCCTCCTCTAAGCTTCCATCCTTTTATTCTCTTATTACTGTCTGACACATTGGTCTTCTTCCAGTTCTTCAGGCACATCAAACTCCTTCCAAGCTTGGGGCCTTCGCTCCTCTTGCCCCCTTTCTGAAATGCTTTGGCTACTATGTGTCTCCTTAACACATAAATGTCTTAACAGATCAGTATCTTAAAGATGTCATCTTAAACCTTTTGTCCTTAGAAGTCCATCCTGACCTCTATTTTAATGTATATCTCCAATTTTCAACTTTCACTAAACCCTGTAGTTTTCCTTCATAGCATTCATAGCACTCATCACAACTTGCATATATATATATATACATATATATATAAATGTATGTGTATATATATATATAGTCTGCTTACATGTTTAATGTCTATCTCTCTGCTAGACTCTAAGTGACGTAAGTGCAAAGACTGTGCTTATTTTGAGCACTGTTGTATTGTTCCCAGATCTTAGCATATATTGGTAATCAATAAAATATATTGGCTGAACAAAAGGATGGATAGATGAAAGGCTGGACGGATGGATGGATGGATGGATGGATAACTAACAGGTCATTATTCTTCCATGGCTTCATTTTATTCAAATGCAAGTTACATGCAGGTCATTATTCTTCCATGGCTTCATTTTATTCAAATGCAAGTTACATGTCAGGATTGTTCTCTTAAAACGTAGGAGTAAAAATGACAGAGGTAAAACGTCCTCTGTGGGATCTGCAATCCCCATTAACAAGAAAGCCAGCCAGCCTCTGCCTCTGTTCCTGCTGTGATAGGGATCTCTCTACCCACCACAGAGTTGCTTCACACTTTGGATGCTTCATTTTGAGGAAGCTTCTATGTTATGAGTCCAGACTCGCTCCTTATTATCTCTGTGCATCAGTCCTTGAGGCCAAATAGATTCTGTCTCTCATTTCTCCTTCCAGAAAGTGAAATTTGCTTCCTCTGACCTG